AAAAAGAGCAGAATAGATATTGGGATTATTTTTACTGATAATTCAATAGCTTTAGATACAGTGTAATTCCCCAATAAATGGACCCATCATTAGAATTTCCCAGCATACTCTAAAGCCTGCCAAGGCTTATAAATAAAACAAGTTGATGGAAACTAATCAGATGCACTTTATCTTGTTTCTTATGAAAGCATTTACAAGAAAAAGCCTGTTTTTTTTTAAAGAACCCAAATGCTAAATTCAGCATGAGGAGAACCCCTGTATTTAATCAAATTAAGCTCAGCGGTCTGTCCTCCTCCTGTCTGGTTCACACGTGTCATCGTGGGCAGTGTTTGGGGGTTACTCCTGGCTCATGACTCTGATTCTGCAGACTTCTCATAAGCACAGTTGACTGGGAGGCTTGTGTATCAAACACATAAAGTCAGTGGAGATCAAAGAAAGAGCCACGCTTTACATGTAGAGTTCCCGAGCTCTGGGAACCATGTGGGAGAAGACGGGAAGGGCTTTGGAGAAGCTGTTTCCCACAGACAGGCAGTGACAACATCATTTCACTAGCTGATTAATAAGGGCTCCTGATCTGACCCAGCTAGGTAATTATATCTGCAAAGGAATATTTACCAAAAATGTAAACTCTGTTAGCAAATTATGAGGGTTTTGTCCCCCAACCCCACCCCCAAGGGTTTAGGTTTGCCAAATGAAAGCACAAAATTTTGTTTTAATGTGATCAGATAAATTTTGGAAAAATCATCCCTGTAAAGAAATGAACAGCTCATTTCTTGCTGGGGTCTTTGGGGCTCCCGTGCTGCTGCAGGGAGTCGCATGGCTTGTATGCGCTACTCCTTAGTTCCAGTGCCTTTGCATTCTTCTGTCACATAGATCACTTTGATCTTATTCTTACATAATTTGCTGCTGTCTTTTTTAACCAAAGCAAGATTGACAAATGTATGTTGCCAGATGTGGTGGTGCAAGCCTTTAGTCCCAGAACTCGGGAGGCAGAGGCTGGCGGATCTCTGTGAGTTCAAGGCCAGCCTGGTCTACATAGTGAGTTCCAGGACAGCTGGGACTATAGGGAGACCCTGTCTCAAAAAGACCACCCCCCAAAAAAGCTTAGTATTATTAACAGTAAATTCCAGTACCAAGAAAGAACCATTATTCTTCACCAGCTGTTTGCTCACTTCAGCCCCTAGGGTTTGCTCTCTGTTCTGTTTGTGTGCATTTATCACACTGTCTACCTAAGAGAGCATGCCACAGTCATAGACAAATCTACCACTGGAGGTCACTGTTCTCTTCTTGCCTACCCCCTGTACTCTGAAACTCTCAGTCCCTTCACCAGAGCAGGCCTTGGGTACGAGGATCCATTGCCTATCTGGTCTTATCTGCCTCCCTCTTGAACAGCCATGATATCAGCTTGACTCTTTTGTACTTTTTCTCTCCAACTCAGAACAAAATTTATATAATTGTAATTTGGAAGACCCTTAGTTAGGTCTCCAAGCTCTAACTTTGCTCTAACCCTTCCTTGCTTAGGGAAAGCCCGGAAGACTGTAAACCAGGCTCAGGGTATTTTGGCAAATGGAGCCCTTTAACCCATTGGCTATAATCTAAAGATTTACAATTTGACTACATACAAATTAATATAAAAACGTGTACCATAAATAATAAGGCAAATTACAAAAATAATTACATCTAAATGACTAATAATCGATGTTTCTCCACTCAAATAAAATCTATAACTTAATAGTGAAAGGACCAGTAGGTAACAAGGTGCATAATAATAGTCAATACACAGAAAAATTTGCTAATTCTTACTACTAATCTTTACTAATCTTAATGTAAAGGGTTTTCTTTTTTCTTTTTTTTTTTTTTTTTTGGCTGCCAAATTGATGCATTTGAATACATAATGCACTAATAGTGTTTGGGAGGCTGAGAAATAAACAGCTAGTGATGACTTGAATTAGTTATGTCTTATCCTAGAAATCACCCCACAAATTAGCAGCTCAGCACAACCAACATTTGTTTTCTCAGTTCTATAGACTGAAGTGTCCAGGAGCAACTGCTCTGGGTGGGTCCTCATGAGCTTTCAGGAAGCTGTCAGCCAGGGCTGCAGTCACTAGGACTGGATGGTCCACTTGCAAGGCGACTTCCATGGATGCTGGCAAGCCCTGGTTCCTTTCTGCCCTAGATGAGTTCCCAAGAGCCCCATTGTGCACCCTCACCTAGCAGCCTGTTCTCCCTTGAGTGAGTGATCTGAGAGGGAAAGCCAAATGCCCCAGTGTCTCAGTCCTGTGGTGACAAACCCTCACTGCCACATGCTGTTGTTCGCACAGTCTAGTCATGGGTACAGTATGGAAGGGCAGTATACAGTTGCGCAGATACAGGAGGCAAGGACCCATGCAGCCCCTGGGAGCTCACTACCACATGTGTGTGTTAAGGAACTGTGTCTGGGTCCTTATTTTTGACAGCTAGGCCTAGAATTTTCTATACGATTTGTGCTGTGCTTTCAGTGTCCAACATGGCTTTTCCCTCCATTGTTTGGCACTTGGTAGATTGACAGGAAAACCTGGGGATAGATGGGCATCTTTCAGTCCATACAGCCTTTCCACGTGGGGAGCTTGGTTCCTTGGAACATTATGGTCTGAACAGTCAGACTTCTTAAAAGGCAACTGAGCCAACATTCCAGGAGACCTGGACAGAAGCTTCAAGACTTCCAGCAATCTAGCCGTGGACTCTTCATCTTCTTTATCAAGAAGGTATCCTAGGACCAGCCCAGATTTAAAAGCATGATTTCAGAAGAGGCATGCCTTACTGTGAAGGTCCATCGTTGGAACCTGCCCTGGGAAGTTCTTGTTGTCAGAGATGATGCTGGCTTCTTATAAAGAAACAGTGCATATAATAAACACCGTTTTTATTCTAAATAATTTTGAACATGAAGTTAATGGAATTTGCCTACAGACTGGCTTTGTAAAATGTAGAAGAAATGCAGAAAAGATCAGGTGAATTGGAGATATTTTAACTCCCAGTTTGAGGAAGAGATCTATTGACTGAGAGAGGAGGGACTAAAGAGTGGGCTTCAAAAGGAGAATCTGGATTGCTTGAACATTATTAGGTCTGTGTGAGGAGGTGCAAATAAAGATGCATCCATTAGGAAGTGGGCTGAACCAGACCCTTTTCCTACCTGCAGTCCCAGCTGCACTGGAGTCTTAAGACAGTAGGATGTGAGATCGATCCGTGGCGCAGAGTCAGACTCTGGGACTTGTGTCTCTCACAGCAAGTCATTTAATGGAAAAATTCAGTAAGTTTTTATATAGAAAAAAGAACTGGCAGACACATGCGGTTTGGCAGTTAAACTCAAAGATTTAGGGCACACTTAGATGAGAAACAGGACGTGTAACTTTTAGCTAGTGCCGGCTATGGGCTGTTTACAAAGCAGGATGCTTGAACTTTTACTCAGGGTTACTAGTGCCTATCTGGTCATTTATTGGCCAAAATGTTTTCTTTCTTAGGACAAAAAGCATAGTAAACTTTTAACCTGGCCCATTCTTTTTGCTAATGAGAGCTAAGAGTTATTTATCTAAGGGCTGTTGGCTAACCTACTTTCCCTCAGAGCAAGGAGTGCTGTAAACTTTTAACCTAGCAAATTTCCTCCTGCTAGTTACGTAGCGTTCTTTATGACAGGGTCCTGAGACACTGTTTTCAGTGCCTTTCCCTTCAGCAGGGATTGTGGCCTGATCTTAAAAGTTTCAGGTCTGGGCTAGAGAGATGGTTCAGCAGTTAAGAACACTGGTTGTTCTTGTAGAAGACCTGGGTTTGAATCCCAGCACCCACATGGCAGCTAACAACTGTCCATAACTCCAGTCCCAGGGGATCCGACACCCTCTTCTGACCTCTGCAGGCATTGCATGACAGAGGTGCACTTACCTGCATGCAGGCAATACACACATACACATAAAATAAAAATAATAAATAAAATGTGAAAAAAAGGACAGTTTCAGGTCCATCTCGTCCTAAGGCATGCCATTCTGGTCTCCTACAGTATGGTAAATGGAGAGTTAGTACACGAGTGAATTGTAATCAGTTCAAGTGATTTGAGAAAAGGCTATTAGTAAACTACCTCAAATGGGAGAATTATTATAGGCAAGAGATAAAAATATATATAGGCTGGGCATGGTGGCACACACCTTCAGTTCCAGCACTGGGGAGGCAGAGGCAGGACCAAAATATATATATTTTTTTAATACATATGGCAGGTAATAGACCCGTGAAGACCTGATTCATCAGACTAAAGGCATGGAAGGTACCATCATATTTTTCTTTGCTATAATATTTAACTGTTTTTCTTTTTGAGATAGGGCCTGTCTGTAACCCAGTCTAGCCTCAAACCTGTAGTCTTCCTGCTTCAGCCTCCCAAGTGATAGAATTACAGCTGAGCACCACTGCGCCTGGCTTGTTTTTTTTTTGTTGTTTTTTTTTTTAATTCTTAAATTTTATTTATTTTTGTCTTTTTTGAGACAGAGCCCCAGCCGACCTGGAACTAATATATAGACCAGGCTTGCCTAAATCTCACAGAAATCCACCTGCCTCTGCCTTCTCAGTCCTGGGATCAAAGGCATGTGCCACCACATCTGGCCTTGGGTAGGAATTTCAAGAGGTTTTCCAGGAGGAGGTATACAAAGCCAAAGACTTTCCTTCAGATAAGAACTAGATTTTGTGTCTTGTTTTGAAAAATGCCATTAATGGAGCTAATAGACAAATGACCAAATGGAAAAGGTGACAGTAAACAATAACTAATGTGGACCTTTTAAGGAAGAGGCTTTGGACTTTTTTTTTTGTCCAGTTTTTTGTTGTTGTTGTTTTAAACAGCTATTAAATGTATTGGCTTTCAAGTCTCAGTGGCAGAAGAAAACCTTATTATACTCAAAATTCCTTGTCTTGATTACATGCTATTTTTGTCATATTGGTTTTTAAAATTTGAGAGCTATTTGCTGAAAGTGCTTTGTTTATTTCAGGGGCTACATTAAGCATGAGGCCTGCCCCCATTCCAATAGAGGACCCAGAGTGGAGACAAACGCCTCCCCCGGTCTCTGCCACGTCTGGAACCTTCCGACTCCGGCGAGGGAGTAGATTCACCTGGAGGAAGGAGTGCCTGGCAGTCATGGAAAGGTGCGTGTGGTCTCTTCCTGTGAAACTCCCAAGCTGAGGAAAGGGAGGGCCTCACATAGGGTGGGACAGTTTTCATTTCTAACAAATAATGTGAGATCTACATTTTGTTTTTTAATAGATCTAGATTCTAACTCAAAGTGTCTGGAATATTAGAATTGCTGTGTTATTGAAATAAGAGCACTCATAGAGCTCAAGTTAGCATCTGTCTGCTTATTTTACTTATAATTTAATTTTGTCTTCAGTAATTTAACAGTCTTTAGAAGTAATATTGTTAAATTATACCTTTCTATTTTAAAAATCTCTGTGAAACCTTTATTTTCATCAAAGTGTTAGACTGTGAAGGAACATACCAAGATTTAATTGTCCTCAGTAGGAGGATGGTCTCAGTTTTCTTTAGACACAAAGGTTAGAAATGTTTATTTTTTACTTTGACTTATCCCCTCACTCTAGCACCAGACCTGGTCCATATGTGACATTCAGTACTTTTTTGACAGTTTGATTTGTCCCATCTGGTGTGGTATCAGTACATGCTTATAAAATGTTACTGTATTTAACATAGATTTCACAGCAGAATTGTCTTTTTAGGCCCCCTACCCTCTATAAGTGGCATCTGTAGAATACCTTGATGGTGAGTTTTTATGCAGCAGGATAAATTCTCTGACCTGACCACTAGAGTGGCACACTTGACAGAAGGCTTGCCTCAGATTTGCAAGTCCTGGAGCCTGAGTCATTCCTTTCGGGTCACAGATGTTAAACTGTGACTTCTCATCTCTAAAATGAATTTTTTCAATTGCTACCGACATCATCTAGGCCTTCTACTGTCATTTTTTTCCTACTTGATTGCTGTTTCCAAACTCATTAATGTCACTGGCTGAAAGAGAAGGAGATTTACAGTGTCCAGGTTCAGACATGTTTTTGTTCTTATGATGTAGGTGCAATGAATAGGTCCACTTACAAAGACTGGACTCAGTAGCCAGAATGGGACTGTTGGCTGTCCATTGCTGTTAGACATTCCTCTCCTTGCTCTCTATTATGGCTAAGAGAAGCAGCCACTTGTTGAATAATGAATCCGTTGTGCTTGACTGACTGACGTGAGAGGGGAGGTGTCATTGCTCTGGAGCTCTGATTGCAATCTCCTTCATCTCTCATCTGGGAATTTTGATTCTTCTTAGCAATTTGTTTCAGAGTTTCCATATAATGATTCATAGTTTCCATAAATGATTCACAACATTGTATATTTTCTTATAGGTAACACAATAAACTTTGTTACTTTCTAGCTAGTACAAGTTATAATTGTGCTACTGACATAGCTAATTTTTTCATTAAGATACTGATATGCATTTATCACTTAATGTCAGTGTGGGAAATAATTAATTTAAAATGGAGAACATGAAAATGATGACGCTTTCATGAGTTTTAAGAACTGAACCTGAGACTTTGGGTCCTTTTACTGCTGGTTTTTTTCCCCCCAAAGTAGCAACAACTAGCTGTAAACTCACACTGACTGAATTTTAGTTTAAAAAAAAAAACAAAAACTAAGCACTTATCCTTTGGAAGGTTCCTATTTACTCCTAACACACACACACACACGTTATTTTTTTCAGGCTCCATGTGAAATTTGATGGCTGAACGTGACCTGGTAGGGTGCAGGTGGGAGCCCTCAGAAGTGCAGGACCCATCACTTGTCCAGGGGGTCCTGTCTAGGGTGCATTTGACCCACAGCATCAGCAACGAGCTGCTCTCTTGACTGCCATGTCTTCAAGTTAATCTGCAGTAAAGCTGGGGAAGCCCCACTTCTCAGAGAGGTGGATCTTCTGATAGCCAGGGAACTTGACCTTGCTCTATGCAGGGCCTTGGTCACTCCTGATTCTGAAGCTTGATGCAAATGGACATGATAACCTGGTCAGTATAAACTATGGCCACCCTAAATACCTGTCTAGAGCCTCGACTGGGGACAGCATTGAGATCAGAAACATGGATATACACTAGGAAACTGTCTCCAAGGTCTGTTAGGATGCTCTACCAACAACAGGCTGTACACACTACCAAGGAGGTTGCTGTTTTCAGCCACTGTACTAACCTATAACTAATATGTTCAACCTAGGACTTGATTTTCTTTGGTTTAATTTGATCTTACCTGACATAATTAGAGAAGACATAACTCATGCTAGATTTTTTTTCAAATGCAGAAAGCCTTTCAAAGCACTAAATAGCAATTGGATGGATGGGGTGTTTTTCCTCAAAATGGAACTTTGCCTTTTCTAAACTGGAATAAGAAATCCTCTAGCCTTAGAGCAGCACATAATGTTTTTTGGCATCGACCAAATGTTTGAATAAACACATATGCACAAACTGTAAGCTCAACCGAGTAAGCCTTATTCAAATATGTCCCTATAGGATAAAAGTCAAAAATTATTCCATTCCTCACACATACACCAAGATAAATTTCAAACGAATTAGAAAAGTGAACCCATCTATATAAAAGAAGGAAACATGAATGATCCCTTCATATCCTGGAAGTGGGAGAACTATTCCTGAGACTTATAAACCAAAAGCCGAAAAGAAAATAACTGTCAAGTGTAACTACATAAATAAAAGGAAAGCTTTGGGGATAAAATGAAGCAAAGTAGGAAGTCAAACTAGAAAAACATATTTCAGCTTTCATTGTCCTTAATATATAAAGAGTTCCTAAATTAGGTAAGAGCAACAACTCCACAGAAAAATGAACCAAAGATAATAGTAGAAACATAATGCAGAAGCCTCGAGCATTTGAAAAATATTTACATTGTTATTAGAGGAGTTGTTTGGGTTTTGAGACAGTCACACTCTAGCCCAGGCTGGCCTTGAACTCATGGTAGTCCTCCTGCACCAGCTTCCAGGTCCTCAGTTGATAGATGTAAGCTGCTCTACTCTAGCTAAGATGTAATTCAAATCAGAACTGCACTGACATACCATTTGTTGCCTATCACGCGGTAAAAATCCCAAAGTCTGTCCACCTAGAGATCGTACGTAAAGCATATGCTCCCTCAACCAGTAGCAGTCAGTCCCCAATAGCTCTCAGTCATAGATAGGGAGGGAGGTCTAAATTTGATTAAGAACCGTTACATGAAATTGTAAACACTGAATAAAAGTTTTTTTAAAGATCCCAAAGTCTGACAAAGTTTTCTGTTTATTGGGCACTACAGAAATGACTTTTTTGCTCATTGCTGGAGAAATGCAGAATGGTACAGCCTCCAAGGAAGGAAATCAGGCACTGCCAGGGACAGCTGCCTGTGGGTTTGCCTTTTGTGTCATCAGCACTATCTCAAAGATACACTGAGAAAAATCTGAAAACGTAGCTCTCTTTTACATTCTACCCAACTCTATATAGCAGTTACAGTTTCTTACCAACAGTTATTAATCATTCTTTGGGGTTGTAGCCATCTTAGAAGGGCGAAGTGATGTATCATTGTATTGTATTTTTTTCTTGTTGTACCTAGGGATTGAACCTAGGAACTCATACATGGTACCCCATGCTAAGCCCTATCAACCCTGCATCCTCCTTTTGGTAAGAGGCCTGCCAGAGTTGCCCAGGCAGGCCTTAACTTGCTGTGTAGCCTAGGCAGACCTTGATCTTGCTATCGTCTTCCTGAAGCCTCTGGGTAGCTGCAATGGCAGGCCTGTACCCCAGGCCACCATTGTAGCTTCACTGGCCTTCCCCTGGCAATGATGCCAGGCTGCCGTTCATATGCTACACATGCCATCTGTACATTGAATCGTCTCTGGAAAACTCTGTTCAGATCTTCCCTTTTCCTTAAATTGGATTGTCATTTATATTCTAAACACAAGTTCCTCATTAATTACATGATTTGCGAATATTTTCTCCCATTCTGTGACTCTTTTCATTTTGTTGATGGCATTCTTTATAGCATACAAGTTTTTAATTTAGATGAAGTATGATTTATTAACATTTTGAAGTCATGTTTAAGTCTTTGGCTAAACTAAGATCATCAAGAACCAATTCTGTTTTCTTCTAACAGTTTTACACTTTACCTTTTGCATTTAGTTTTTTGATCCAGTTTTAGTTAGTTTTCTTGTGTGATGGGGTACAGATTCCACAGCATTCTTTTTGTATACAGATACATGGGTGTCCTAGTATTCCCATTCATCAATCCTGTTAATCCCATTAAAAATCAGTTGACTGTTGGCTAGGGTTATCCTTTGGTAGTAGAGTATTTGCCTAGTATGTGAAAGGCCCTGGATTTACTCTCCGACACTGTAAAAACAACAATAACAGATAATTCAGTGGACTATAAATGAAGGTGTTTTCCTAGACTGTCAGTTCTGTTCCATTGCCTTGTGTGTCTCTCCTTATAATGTACTACATTGTTATGGTTACTGTAACTTTGTAGTGCAACTTGAAATAGAGAGATAGTAGTTCTCCAATTTTACTTTCCTTTTGAAGAGTTCATTAGCTTTTCTGGATCCCTTTCATTTCCTTAGGAATTTTAGGATAAGCATATCAGTTCTTGCAAAACGCCATCCAGATGATATTTGAACTTCACCATATGCATAGAGCCAAAGGAAAAGCAACGTGAAGGGTATGGTAGTTGTAGTATTTGCTTCCAAAATCTTTTTTTTTAATTTTTACAAAAACTTCATTGAGAATTTCATACATGCATATAATGTGTTTTGATCAAATCCATGCCCACTCCCTCCCCTCCAACATTCCCCCCTCTGAAGAAGTAACCCTAAAATCTTTTAAGGATTAGATACAAGCTCCCAAATACTTTTGACATTTTTGGCCTTGGGACAGAGTATGTTGCTAAGAGGCCCAAGGACATTTTGACTTTTAGCCAAGAAACTGGCTACATTTCTTTGGGGTCTTTTTACCCTAATTGCCTAGCCAGTTCCTACCTCCTATTCTTGTCATGCCATCCTCTGCAGAGGTTACCCAAGCTGCCAATAGGGAATAGGGATGCCGACTGCTCTGGCTTCTTCCATGCTGAACAGGGATGCAG